TATATATATATATATATGTATATATATATTACATTGGCTTGTTGAGCATTATTTCGCTTAATACTTGTACTGCTTTGCTGTTTTTTATTTTATTGAGGAATATTTCTTCAACATGAAGCAAAATTGATTGTATCGCAGCAATGATATGAGTTTGTGAAATCCCATTTTACAAGCACAATAAAAATAGCCTTTAGGAATTTTTTAAATTTAATTAAATTAATTTTTAAAAAAAGCTATGCTATGAATGTTCTTTTGTAAATTGTTTTAGGGCCTCACTTCCCTGTCTTAATGAACCTTTGCTGCTCTCGAAAGTTTAAAAGTGTGTTGACCATTTGCCAACTATTATCACAGTTGTAATCTAAATGCACATTCCTACTTGCTTTTCTCCCAGATGATTACCCTCAATATTTAATGTAGTCTAACATTCCTAAATTTTTGTAGCTCAAGTATACTGAAATGTACTCATTTTCTGATTTTGTTCTTTTAGGACAAGTGCACAGCCTTTGACTTTTGTGGATTAAATTTGATGTTGTAACAGTTAGCCCCCAATAATATTTCAGCACTGTGTTCTCACGTATGCTTATTTCCAATGCCGATTTTCCAGCCACCAAGACCAGAAAATCAAAGCAATCGCTTTTTTTCTGCAACCAGCACTACTTCAGCATTCCATTGTACACTAGTGTCCAAAAATTAGGTCCACAACATGACCCTTGTGGACATCTTCTTCACGGTTGAGCTTTCCTTAATGAGCTTAGGTGTTCCTTGAGAGTTTGAATACATTTATGGGTGTGTTTTCTCTCTTAGGCCTTTCATAATGCTCAGCGATCATACACTGAATAGTTTTTCTCATAAGAAACCTTCGTGCTCAGGAGAAAATTTGTGTTTAAGATTAATATTTAATTGATTTATTATATTAATATTATATATCGAACACTCTAGATGATGGTATGGTCTTGAAGAAGAAAGCAAATTCAGTTGTTACTGTCAAGCTTTTGACCTATTTTAAGGCCATCATCAGGGCAAAACAATCTTAAGTATGTCTACAGATTGTCATATTTAAGATTGTTTTACCCTGAAGATGGTCTTAAAATAGTTCAAAAGCTTGGCAGTAACAACTGAATTTACTTTCTTCTTCAAGTCATATCTTGATCCAGATGTTCGTGAGTGAAAAAGTGGTTGATATTTCTAATACTGCACGCATATTATTATATAAAACACCTCTTTCATTATTATTATTATTGTATGTTCTTTGGGATATTGATTAGGTTTCAATAGTTTAAAATTACACATATAAATGTGACTAATGCCTTTGCAGTGAACAATTTTTAAAATAGCATTAATGAGTATGTTCATGTCGATTTTGTTCATTTGCATTTTGCTTAAACAATTTAAAATTATTTATGAAGAATCATGTGATGTCACACGGCACGTAAACGATCAAATAAAGATGATAGTTCGTAATCTAATCGATTCGTCAGGCCCAAAAGCCCCAAAGACGAAGGTTTGTTCGGGTTAGTAAGGTTGAAAGTTGGAAACAGTCTAGACAGTCTGAAAAAATAAAATAAATACCCAATTAGGAATATTTTGAAAATACCGATTTATCCGTTGGCCTGACATGATTACCCTGTGCATCGGCTAATTTTGTGAAAGGAGTTTTTCAGCTTTGGCCCATTTTTTCTTTTCTAGGACTGAGTTGATTTATTGTACGTTCTTACAATGTCCGGCACCGTGTCAAGAATGAACAGCAGAAAATTCAAATGGGCTCTGGATATGAACACGAGGTAAATTTATACGATTTTATAGCGGATTTTAAAATAATTTCCAAAGGGTCAATTTTAAATTATTGACGAGATTATTGATCACCATTTCCCTGTCAACCGTTATCAGAGGCTTAAATTATTTATAGGATTTTGGGTTTCTTATAAGAGAAAAAGTGCATTTAAGGAACACAATTCTTTAGGCTTACATCAAAAGTTATGCTGCTTTTAATTAAAATTGGTAAAAGTCAATTAGTCAATATTTGCCTTGTCAATTATTGATATACATAATGAAAGTTTCATCAGACTTCATTTCTTCGAAATGACACTCCTGACTTGAATGTAAATTGCACAAAAATTAATAGGGTTATTTGTAATTTATTCTACTCTATTCATTTTAATTAAATTAACCAATATATTCGTGTTAGTTGGATAAAACAAAATAGAAAATACAAACCAACAACAAACAAATGTTAATCCTTATTTTTAATAAATATGAAGATTACTTAGAAACAAACACATTTTCTCGTCTTTTCTCCATTTTAATCCAGTTGTATTATCTTCGACCTTGGAAGACATCATCTTGGACCAGAAGTTAGCAATATTCTTGTGAGTGAGTCAACGAGGTCAGCGGCAAGTGGATATCACACAGGCACTTAGCGTTTCTTGCAGTGTGGTCTCCAGGGCTTTAGATCGATTCCGAGAGGCTGTTAGTGCCAATAGGAGTCCTGGGATCTCAGTGCATTATGGCACAAGGGAGGACAGAAATATTGTCATTGCTGTAAGACGGAACCCTTTCCATAATGATTGCCATATCCTAAATGAAGTGCAAGATGTTTTGGCCTTTATCAACACAAAGGATTCATAATCGTTTGTGGGAAGTTGGCCTCACATCGTATGCCTCTTTGAGACAATCAGGAGCAACAGCCTGCCACCAGCAACTCAGGAGAATATGGTGCAGTGAGTGCCTAGAAGAGAACATTGAATGCTGTTATATTGTTGATGAGTTGCTTTTCTGTCTATAGTGATAGTGCTGAAGAGTACTGGGAAGAACAGGGGACAATGCCTCAGTTCGGTCTTCCTTCAGTGCAGTTTGGAGGAGCCAGTGTAAAGATCTGGACTGGGATTTATACTGGAGGATGAACTAGATTCCATATTATTGAAGGCAACCTCACTGCAGCTCGTTATGCCCAAGAAATTATCGAGGAATACACCCCTCAAACCAGGGATTTTCGATTTCTAGTTGACAATGCCACACCTCATAGAGGCAGAGTTGTTAATCAGTGTTTAGAAAACCTGGGAATTTCCCATCTGCCCCTTCCCCTATTTTCTCCAGATCTCAATCCCAAATCTTGAGCACATGTGGGATGCATTGCATAGAAGGCTTTTCAATCCCAGTTGACCTGCAACAACTGAGTGCAGCATTGCAACATCTACGGAGTGAAATTCCTTATGAAATTAGTTACAACATTATGAACATTATTATACATATCATTAATTGTCTAAAAATATTATTGTGTCCAATAAACAAAATTATAGAATTAAAACCATTTATTTTGTGGTGATAAGTGACCGTTAGTCGATGATTATTCAGAAATCGTGAGATGCGGTCTGGTGTGATGTAGGTTTCGAAAAAACATTTTCTCTATCGTGCCAATGTTTCGATCTCAATAAAGATCTAAACATTGGTATGATAAAGAAAATGTTTTTCTGAAACCTACATCACACCAGACCACATCTCATGTATAATCACCTTTTATTTTGTTATTTTTCAAAATCCCTTAATTAAATTTTCCTTCAGTAAAAGACATAATTTCTAATTAATTTTAATGCAATTTATAATATAAATAAAATAAAAATGCTAGGAAAGTAAATACTACAAAATTATCAATATCCTTATTCATCTTTGAGCAGTTTAGGTACATCATCATTTGGTATTCACAAGTTTTGTTTTTTGCAGTATAAACTATGAACTTAAACTTAAAAAAATATAACTTAAAAAATAGTATAATTTATATAAAATATTTTATTTGTACTCTATACTCATTAGTACATATTATAAATATGTTCACAAAATATTTTTTCAAATGGCTACATTACTAATGTCTGCACCTAAGGACATATACCATGAGAAAGCCAATGATGGCATTGGCATTAAAAGTTACATGGTTACAGCACTAACACTAATGATGAGAAAACAGCCAATGCTGGCCTCAATCTGGGGCAGGCCATCATCAATTAAGGCGACCTGGCAGGTTTCTCGGCATGGGAATGTGCAGATAGGGCTCGACCAGTAGGTTTAGGACGGATTGAAAGCTTTGTGTGGAACTTTTGTAATCGGGAACGGATCAGGAGTGTTTAGGTCGTTTTGGATAGTGAGATTAGTGATGTAGTAAGGAGCTGTGACGATTTGATTGGGAGGATGCACTGGATGTTGGATGGCTTGGCCGAAACTTAGTCCCCCAAATTAAAGTGGTCGCGGTAAAGTCTTGTATAAAGATAGTTTAGTTGATGGTCAAGATGGATTTCTGTCCTAGATGCATTTGTAGTTGTCTCTGTCATGTGTGGTGATTCCACATCATTTTACTCTCTACGTATAGTCCTTATTATTTGACTTGAGTGGAAGTCGGCATACAGGCTTTTTTTGGTGGAAAAAAGGCTTTTTTTGATGTGAATGAACATTGAATATATTTTTCTTCATTCAGTATATTATTTGCACCAATCTTCTATAAGCCCAAGTTCAAATATAATGTATATGTAACATTTAATTTTTTTCCTTTTGTTTTTAGAAGCAAGGCAGATAGATCGGATCTTGCTGCCCCTCCTGGCTACAACCCGGCAGTTAGCCAGATACACACGGAATCCTCTAAGGAATCTGATCCGAATCACTTGATCATAAAAAAATCATGGGACCTTGCACTCGGGCCCATCAAGCAAGTGCGTTTGTATCTATTTAAAAAAACAAAGGTTAGAGGTTGTTATTTAAAAACTTAACTTCTTTTTTTAAACAGGTTCCTATGAATTTATTTATAATGTATATGTCAGGCAATTCGATCTCAATTTTCCCAATAATGATGGTTTGTATGTTAGTGATAAGACCTGTAAAAGCGCTTTTCACTATGCAGAATGGTAATGATAAGCTTTTTACTTAAAAAAAAAATGCTTTTGTTTATAAACCTGTTTTATTTATAGCTTTCAAGATGATTGAAGGGAATCACGCTGCCGGACAGAAATTTGTCTACTTTATCGGCAACATTGTCAACATTGCCCTAGCTCTTTACAAATGCCAGTCGATGGGCCTTCTGCCGACTCATGCCTCAGATTGGCTTGCTTTCGTTGACCCTCAGATACCCATGGAGTATTCGGGAGGAGGTGTCATCTTCACATAACGAAGAAAATAATAAACTATTGGATTATCGAAAAAAAACTGTTGCTATATTTATATTTAGTAATGGATACAAAACAATTTTATACATATACAATAAATACTGTATAATACAACAAATATAAATAAATTAATTTAAATTGTATGTAAATTTGAAATTTGAATTCAATTATCACTATGTGCTGAGTTTCCTTTTGTTTTGTTTAAATTTAAATTAAAATTTAAAAAAAAAATTAAAAAAATAAATAATTTTTACTACATATTTAACATTTTATTGTTCTATTAACACCTATTTCTTTTTCTCTTTAGCAGTCTCGTCAATAAATGCAATTATTTTGTTTACGACAGTTGCAGGATCTTCTACTTTTTGCACCTGTAAAAATATAAAACATTGTTTTAATAAAAAATTATTGGCAACAATTTTTCTAATATTGTTCAGATATCCCTATAGCTTTCTCATCCCTTTGATTTGTGATAGTGAATGCTATTATAAAACAAGTCACTTATTATCATTAAAGAAACATTTAAAAATTACAAATGAACATATTTTTGATTAGTTTGGGAAAGAGATGAGCAAGCTAAATATTTTTTGAAAGGCAAACTTTCTTGAATTATATACCGAAATAGCAACTTGAAATTTTCGTAAGAAGAAAATTGAAAACAAAATTACAATATATCTTCCCGGGGTGTAAATATTTGTTTTCACTTTTTGTACTTGTCAGCGTAGTTCTTCAAATCTTCCCATAACACAAGTGGTTTGTCTACTGGCCGAATCTGAAAGTGGATTTGTTTTGCTTTTAGTTTGCTTACAACTGAATTAATTCGACCTATGTACAATTTTTTTTCTCCCTTGGCTTTTTCCTTTGGAAATATTGGCATATTACAATTTGGTTTGGAAATTTAATTCTAATGTGAGCTGGTTTGTCTCGAATTTTTAACAAGACACTAATGTTACCCGTTTGCTAAAAACAGTTTAATTTTCTCACTTTAAACATATTCTTACATTCTTTTAACAAATTGCGGAACTGCTTTGGGAAAATATCAAAAAATATGCCTAGAAGGAATTTCTTCCCCCAAAGACATCTTAAAAACAACTACTTTTTATTTTGATCATTTTTTGCTAAATTGATAATTGATTAAATTAGCGAATGTAAAGAGTAAATAAATTAACTTAAAGTTAAACTATAATTAACTTAAGAAAATTAAATTAACTGAAATTCAAGAACATTTTAAGTTCACATCCAGGTGTTGAATTGGCCCAAGCCAAACAATCAATGCTGATGATTGCAAAATCTCAAAAACATCAATTTGGATAAAAAATGGAGAGTGAATTGAATAAAACCCAACCTTCTGTTACTCTGGAAAGGCAAATTTTTATTATAGATTTTGCCTTTTGAGCAGCAAACCCAGATAGCAGGTGGGCATCGGATGAATCTGCTTAACAAAAAGCATACTTCCAGGTGATTAAGGCCCATTCCATGGCTCTGTGTGAAATAATAGTTAAATCTGTTGATGACACCTTGGATTTTCATGAATGAAACTGAATTACTGATTTTACAGTATTTTATATACTGTTATATTTACCTATCAGATTCAAAATTTGAATGTTCTGGTTTTACTATAGATGGACATCAAATCTGTCAACTAATTTCATATTATACCAGTTTGAATCCTTAGTTAAAGTTTAATCCTTCCTTATATGATTGGAACATTGTATTTGTCAAATGGAGACGCCCTGGATTTTCATGAAATCTGTTGGATCAGACAATTGAATGTCAGGATACTCTGGAAACAATCTGACTATTAGAAATGCGGGATAATGATTTGAAAATGGAATCCAGCACTAAGCGTACTGCTAGCAAATTTTCTACCAGATTAACAATTGGATGCAATGGATTTTTGCAATATGGATATCCAATATTATTCTGATGCTTAATAGTAAATGACAATCGGATAGCCAGTATATGCATGAGATGGACATCAAATTAGACAACGACTGCATTTATCCTGAGAAAGATGGCCGGAACTAGACTAATAATATCGGGCAACTACAAGATTTGGAATCTTGACAATTGGTCAATGAATACTTACGTTTTTAGCATATAATCATTATACTGGACAGCCAATTGCACATTTCTTAACCAGATCTGACATTTACACGCCAGACTGTCTCACATGATCTCATAATGAATAATCATTTTTTTTTTTTTTACTTTTTCTCTTTATGGTAATATTTCAGAACTTTTCAAATGGTGTACTGCTAACACGAGGCTGCGTATATATATATCACTGTGGATGTAAATAATGTAGCCATCCAGATCAACAATCAGACGGCAAGTAGCAAATTTCCCTTCCAGATCCGATAAATCTGGATTTTCATAAGGTGTCAGTCAAAACTGTCAGAAAGTTGACTGAACGTAGTCGTCACAATAGTATCCTACAATTCAACAAGAATTTTCGTGAGAAGGACATCAAATTGGACAGACGCATCATGAAATCAGAAATTTATACAAATTTGTCCTATATAGTCATTATGACAGTTGGAGACCGTGAATTTTGTGTATGGGTCATCAAATATGACTATTAAACCTAAAGAAGCCTAGTATAATTATGGTTATTGATGATGGGTGTTAGCCTACAAGTCGGTGAACACATGAGTCACTATTTGAATCTATGTCCGGGAAAGAAACGTGCAACTGTAGTCAGATCCAGGGTCAGTTCAATTATAATAGTGTTGTACATTTCAGTATCTTTGTTTTGAGAGCTGTAATCCATTTGTTCAGGTTTACGGTAACATTTTGGGTATTTTGCAATCAAGATATTTACTACTTAACTAATGTCTCCTTAGAACAACATCAAGGTTGTCATTAAAGAGTTACAGAAAAATAAGACACTTAAACTACTGACCAATCACAGTAATGTTACAAATTTCAGTTTTTTTTTTATACAACATTCTTTTCTTTTTATGGTAATATTTTAGAACTTTTCAAATGGTGTACTGCTAACACAAGGCTGCATATATTCATATCACTGTGGATGTAAATAATGTAGCCATCCAGATCAACAATCACACGGCAAGTAGCAAATTTACCTACCAGATCCGAATTATAATAGTGTTGTAAATTTCAGTACCTTTGTTTTGAGAGTTGTAATTCATTTTTTCAAGTTTATAGTAACCTTTTTTGGTATTTTTCAACCATATTTTTAACTGTCTGCTTAGAATAATGGTGATTAGTGACCGTTAGTCAATGATTATTTGGAAATCGTGAGATGCGGCCGAGTGTTATATAGGTTTTAGAAAAACATTTTCTTTATCATGTCAACGTTTCTACCTTTATTGCCTTTATCACAAGAATGGCACAATTACACAGAAAACAAACACTTTGAGTGAGTAAAAATACTTTGATTGAATATAAAAAATATTTGTTTGCATTGTATAAATTGTATACAAGATTTTTTCCCACATCCTACATTTATTTGTTAAATTTAAACAATGTTTGTAAATCCCAGGCCCTGAAGATGATCTCAATAAAGATCGAAACGTTGGCACGATAAAGAAAACTTAGAATAATGTCGAATTTGACATTAAAGATTTTAAATAGCTATCAGGTTTACTTCGTTGCAATTTAAACATTTGTCAGTTTTTCGCCAGCGTAAAACAATAAAATCTAGATTTTTTAAAAGTTTATACCTCGTAATTTTGAGCTATATACATCCCCGTGTAGACCCCAGCTCCAAATATGAACTGTAAAATAGTATTTTATGCACCAGTTAATATATATATATTTTAAACAGAACTTGTGCAACTTACAATCCCTCTGAACATCTCGGTTCTTTATCCGTCGTCTTCAGATCTGTTTCAAAGGCAATAAATCACAGACAAGCATCAACAGAAATACATCCTTCTACCGGGAATGAGATGCTCTTTTCAATCTACGAAGTTTGAACCTTCTGCCGGATAACCTTGCCACTCAGCCCTGGCACATGTTTCCCGACTGGTGTAAAAATAAACTGAAAAGATCCCTGCAATTTATACCATTTTTTTAAAACAAATATTTTTATTACATTTTACATGGCTGATAATGTTTTTGCAGGCAAAGATTACAAATGTTCAATTAAATAAAACATCACATTTGCTTAAATTTTTTATTGGACCTTTTTTTATATGGACAAAAATCTATAGTTGGGGGAGTTCTGCGATGGTGGTGGTACCTCACTCCGTGGAGGGGAGGAATTGAAATCATGATCATGAGACGTATACGTGATAGCAGTAGCGTCTGCTGAGCGAAGGTCACCTTCGAGTGCTGACCCTTCGTTCATTTAATTCATTGTGTTTGATGGATTGAGACGTTCTTCCGGGTAAACCAAATGGCTTCGGAGGTCCTTTGTCGGCACGTCCTCAATAGGTGGTTGCAGTTTGCCTTTATTCAATTTTTCCAAGCTGAAACTAATTTATCTCGTTTAATTTAAGGATCTTGGACAGGGGTACAGTCGGTGTGACATGCTACCGGTATCTAACTTCTGGTGAAGTTGCCACCGCTCTCAGGCCGTTCTACTTCTCGGTGCATCCAGACCTATTCGGCAAGTTTCCGACTGAAAGGGTATATCGCTTACTATTTATTTTTCTGCTTTAATCTCTTAATTTTGTATGACAGTCCAAAATATAACAGATACTGGATGAAAATATGCATTAACACAAAGTATACATACATTTGTATTTATAATATGGTGTTGATGAGTTTTTTTTAATCTACCTTCATAGCACTTACCTGATCTTTAAAATTTGATAACTGTATTTATTATTCTATTAGATTTTTATTTTATTATTATTTTTAGATATACAATTGTCACATTTCAATTTATTTCATAGTGACAATGTTGTCATTTAGATTTCACGATCAGACCTAGAGTGCAAATAAAAAAGGATCTCCACGATTAGGGTAGAAAAGTCTAGAAGTGAACTAGTCCATTCTGTGTAGATGATAGACAGAAAGAAGTGTGAGATCCTAGAAAATAGTTTAAAAATGTTCGATTCCTTAAAAAAAGAATGCTTTGGTCCACAGTGGATTGACTATAAATAGTACCCATAGTAGTAGTACAAAGAAAGAGTACCCATCCACCCTTGTTCCAAATGGTTTGCATGAAATTCCTTTTAACTTAAATTTAAAAAGGAAATTTAATCTATGTTATTTTCTTGTGTTATTAATAAATTGTTTTAAAACTTGAATTTAATTTTTGTTATACAAAGGCACTTGATCCGTTTGTATTCAGGTTCGATCAAGACCTCTTGGGCTCTGTTCATAACAAAAAGGATTTACCTGTCTTGTTCAATCAAGAAGAAACTGTAACAAAATTATATATTTAAAGAATGCAATAACATAAAATTTCTAGCAGTTCTGGGTTCAAATCCTGCAAAGCTCATGGAATTTCGATTGGCAGTAATATGTAAAAGGTTTTGCAAAGTGGTTTGACCCCTTGACCTTCTCATCATACAACAGGTAGTTGGATGTTAAGCCATCCTTTATGACAGGAATTACATAAAATTTAATCTGAATATATATATTATATTTTATTACATCCTGTAATTATTTTATTACTCCTATTTTTTCCTACATAGACAATCTTTTTTTGGATTATATTTTTATTTTATTTTGATGCATTGTTAAATCTGATCCTTATTCCTCATCTCCCTCCTCTTCAATGAATCAAAGTTAACCTTAGGTATTTATTTAGTAAATTACAATAATAACGATTCAATAAATTCGAGAAAAAAATGTGTATTAAACAATTATAGAATATTCTTAACATGTTGACTTTAGAGCACACCTAACTAATAACTATAGGGTCACTGATTGGGTCTGCTTGACTTGTGTGGTTAAATAACTCAACAAACCTGACCTGAGTCAGACCCAGTCAGTGAGTCTATGCCAATTTAGCAAGAGCTCACCGGCTAGCAGACCAACATCCATCTAACTTCCAAAACATTTTTAAAGCTTCTCCCTAAATTCAGGTCATATCTACATTTTGGTGTCCGACATTCTGTAGTATATGTATTAACTAGGCTAGGCAAACAGTAGAAAGTGAAACAAAAATTTATCTTTAAAAAAAATACAGGGGAGTATTCGACAATTTCTGAGCAATAATGTTCCAGCATGGTCAATTTAATAAATAAATAAAGACCACTATGGGGGTCTTGCACATACAAAACTTTATATGAACAATTTTAACATATCTGTTAATTTATTACAAGCCTAACAGTAGCAAAAAATGTAAATTTTTAGGGACGAAACAGCAATAATTTCCAGAAAAAAAAGCCAACTTGGTCACTATTATTTTTAAATAAAACTAACATGAACAGGTTTTTAAAATAAAACTTCATGAGATGTTTTTTACCAAGCGGGTTAATCATATAAAAAAATTGAAAAGGAAAATTTGGCATATTTCTTATAAACATTGTCCTAATTTTACCAATCTCATTAAAAAATTACAATACATAAAGATTGTATTTTTTCAGATGAAAATCTGAATAAATCACGAATAAAATTTTTTGATAAAACAACTTACAGTATGTATGATACAACTACTTACTTTGTCAATTGAATTTTGAAAAATATGAAGGGAAATTTTTTCCAACCACTTAAGAATATGTTTAATCAGGCTAATCATTGCACTATCAAACAATGAAAACAAAGTCAATTTGTCAATTATTGACTATTAAAAATGAAAGAAAAAAGAGCATAAAAGGAAAATTAAAATTTCTTTTTCTTCTATTTTTGTTTTTAATTTCTTTTTACTTATAGGGTTGGTGTTAAAATGTCGAACTCAATAAAAATAATAAATTTGGTTGTTACTGATCATCCTGAACTGCCTGTCTTTGCTGTATTGGTCTGTCAGACACATTTGACCAGGATGGTCAGAAACATCCAAATTACAGGTTCGTCACCTGGCAGCCCACATAAAGAAATCACACAGTTAAACGTCCAAAATCAACATTTTTACACATTCCATCCTTTTTCTCAGCCCCTCTTTCACGACTGTTAGGAGATAGAATCGTAATGGAAAGTATTAAGGTTGATTTTGTAATTTTATAGTTTTTATTGAGTCCAGCATTTTAACACAAACCCTGAAAGTATAAAAGAAAAACTTTCTGACTGATTTCTGGGAAATGATGATTTTCTTTTATTCCATGAGAATTTCGTTAATCTACTTCAATCAGTTTAAGTAAATAAGCTATTTTTTAAATAAAAAATATGTGAACTTCATTATTCATTCATTATCCAAATTGGTCAAGAAAAAAACTATTAAAAATACATGAAAATTCATCAATTTGGTCAAATCTACCAGAAAAAATAACACAAAGGATATTCCTTATTACTAAAATGTAAATTTGATTGATCCAATTGAAGTAGTGATGATTTTTTTATATTGAAATCCTAAGGAATGACTTCATTTGTCAACTTGGTCAATTAAAAAAAAGATCATTTTTTGTCTAACTTCTAAAGAGCATCAATAACCAGTTAGGTAAATCTCATTAAAAAAAAAAATCAAGTTTTTACAAAATTCATTAGCCCACTAGGAAGTTTTTACAGTGTGTGTTTAAATAATTACATAGGTCAATCTCATAAAAGGCCAATTTATGCTAAATTTTTTAAAGTGAATTCATTGGCCAACAGTCAGTTAAAAAGGAAGTGTTAACTTCTTGAGAGCACCCATAATCATCATTGTCAATCTCATAAACAGTCAATAGGGAACATTTTTAGCTGGCATATGTTTTAATTTTTTTTTTAATAATTCAGACTTCATTAACAAGTCAGCTTCACAACTTCATAATAAAACTGTAATACAAAATGATGTTTTCTTTAGTGGAACAATTAAGAGTTCATTGGCCAATGCGGTCAATCTGAAAAAAAAAAGGTTCATAATAGAAATTTTTTCTCTTAAATTCTTGAGATTGTAAATCGATCTTTCACGTATAAAAGTCTCTATAGATGAGATAAAAGTAATAAATGGGCAATTTTCTTTTCAAACATCTTTTGAACATCAAAAACCAGTGGTAAATTGTCAATCTGATTAAAGATTAAATTAAATTTTAAAAAAGAAAAAGAAAAGCCAAACCAAGAATTCAAAATTTAACAAATCTATCTTAATAAAAATTCCACATAAACCTTTATTAATCTTTTATTTGATTCGACTGTTTAGTAAATAAATAGTCAGCATTTAGTGTACTTTTTTTACTCCAAGAATAAATAAACCCAAGATATTATCAGGTGTGTAAAACAATAGAATTTTAGGAAAAATCTCCATGACCTGCCAGGTCCTTTATCAGTGTTTGTTTTGTATCGGCACTAAAAAAACAAAACAAACTGGTATGACAAATAGTGATAAATGATAATCATTAACGGTAAAATCCTATTGCTCTCTTCAGGAATCATTTGTATGATATTCACAAATTGTTTAAATATTTTATTAAAATTATTATTTTTTACTAATAGGATATAAAGAAAATGCTATAAAAGTGCAAATACCTTTGGATTTTATTTTTAATTTTGATGTTTTTCATCAGGTTTTATATTTTCAGCTTAATCTAGTATTGCCTTATATTATCTTTTAATTACCTGTTCTGGTACATTAATCTAACTGAAATTACACAACTATTATTTATCGTTGTTGTGATATAAAAAGATTTTATTGTTTTATTATTAAACATTATATAATTATGTAAAACCGTTTAAGAATTAAACATTTCATATATATTTAATAAAACTTAGGAGAATTTTATCATTTTTATTTTTATTACACAAGATATTAAAAATAGGTCAAGGCAAATCACCATTGATTAAAGTCATCTTGAAAATGATTTATTAATCGTGAATGTTTCAGACGGACGAAAATATAAATCACCCGACAATAAGAAAAAAGTGTCTAGATTTTGTGATAAACGGGAATAGCAGATAATTCGCACGAAAATTGCATTATTTTTCATCATTTAATAAAGCCTAGATTGTTTAAATGGAATAAAAGCCAAATCATAAAACAAGATTGATTAGCTGATATTTACTTAGATATTATCTTTAACCAGTCATCAATAAAACACTTTAAATAGATTAGTATTTCAAATATTTTTTCAAGTCCATTTATTAACATATTAAGATAATAATGTGTTTATTTTTATTAATAAGGCTCTGTTAAAAAAATTTAAACGGAAAAAAGTATATTTTGATCACGTGTTTTTTTTTTATCCTTAAAGATGTGGAATGCGGTCGTTGGCTCATTTCCCTAAATAGTTATTCAGTTCCTGATTTTTTAATTTTTTATTTTTTATTTCAAAGTTGATGTTTTGTTCTCTGTTCTCTTGTATTCAAAAATTTCAAAATTAATCATTGGCTCATGTGATGATGATGTCAGTAATAATAAAAATAATGACCGACATGTAACCAAATCTATTTTTGGAATGGAATATTACAGTTGAAACAGAATAAATTGTAAAATATCTTTTTCCACAGTATCTTTATCTTAGATCGACCATTTGTTTAAAACGAGATAAAACTCGTGTTTTCTCGATTGTTCACAAATCAAATTTTTCTTCTTTATTTGTAAATTGAAGAATAATACTGGTCAATACTTTAAATAAACCAACGAACAATATTATCCTGTATTTGGTGCTGGATTGATTTAATTTTTTTTTTCTGCCAAAACTTGTTTTACTGGGCATACTGAAGGTTCAAATTAGATAAATACCTAGCCCTTGATGATGTTATATAAGAGTGTTGTATTAATAACAACAGCCTCAGAGCCAAGGCCAAACGCCCCCATTACATATTTATTTTTGCTTGCAAATCTTTTAAATGATAAAGTTAAAATTGGTTTTGTATTTTTTAATTTTGTATTGGAAAGTGTACAGTTCAATTCAAACAGTTCAATGCATGCTGTACCAGCAAACTTGAATTACATCTGATAATTAAAATATTAAAAAAAGGAACAAAATCAAAGTTTAAAGAAAGTTAAAATTTTAAATAGTTTGGTCCTCTTTAAACCTCTTGTTTGGTTGTCTAATAGCTGCATGAATTCCTTATTCATTCTTGGTTTTATAATAACATTATTTTGTTGAATTGGTGAGATTTTATTTTGTAAATTTCCACATCTGGATGCATAAAACCAGTTAAGATTTAAAAATTTATCATAAATTCTGATTTTATTGCATTTACATCATTCTACCATTCATCAATGCCAAAGGGTGGTGGAGCTTTTAAGTTTGCGGTAGAGCTCCCTGAAGTGGAAGGAATGCTGCTTGGGTGCTTTTTTAGACGTTGGGAAGCCTTCGATCGAGTGTGGCACTCGGGGCTTGCTTTGGAAACTCATGTGCATCCTTCCATTCACTTATTACCTCAAGCTAAAAAAAATCCTTTCTGTCCAATCGGAACATTAATTCACTGTGCCTAAGTAGGTGTTCGGCAAGGCAGCATCCTTGGTCCCATTCTCTATATAGTATACTATGTAGACATTCCTCACATATGCAGATCTCTCAGAAATCTCCTGGACCATCTCTCCTAAACTGTGGTTCAAGAAATGAAAGATCAGACTCAATGAAACCAAATCTCAGTAGGCAAAAGCTAGATTCAGAAGAATGAAAAAAATAAATCAATAAAATATATTCATGGGAACTGCACCCTATCCAATGTCAACTTTAAGATTAAGTTTTTTTCTTTTTATCCTGTTGTGCTCTTGCCATTATAATTTAGAGTCTAGCATCATACATAGGTATTTTAGTATTCATAAAGTACTGGTACTTACTTTATTGATGTATTTTTACTTTTTGATAATAATTTGACGAGTACGTTGATTTGGCTGGGTTCAGCTTTGTTTTCTATTTTTTTCTATTTTTTTTGTCCATTTATGTTTCTATCCAGTTGCATTTGAAGTATTGCTATGACATCTTGTTTGATTTTTCTTGTGATAATATTATTAATCGATTAATATTATAATCGAGAGTTTTATGAAGTTTTTAAGATAAAATATTCAATTTAAAATTTAAATAAAACATTTAATTGCTTCAAATCAGAAGTTTCAAATTCAACAGTTCATAATTGCAATCTCTTCCAGGCAACAAATGAAAATTCACTTCAAGTATTAAGTTCCTACATCCAGACTTTACAGCAGAATCGGCCACCAAGGCCTGCGACCCTAAAATTTTATCTAAGACCTCAGGGAGTCACTCTTGATAAAGGTAACAAATTAACTATTAAAATTTGAAAAACCAAACAAAACTTGTATTTATTTTAGAGAGTATAAAACCTGTAGATATAAAGTTAGTACAAAAGGACCTGAGGAAGACAGTGGTCTCAATATTGTCAACATGCAATCTACCTACTACATATGTAGACAACATTGCGCCAGCACTCAACCCCTCCTCTTCAAGGTACCACATGAATGAAGCCTTTAGACAGCGTGTTTACTATTACGAACATGACCTAAGGAAGGAAATGGGGTTCCAGATGGAAGAGGAGATTGAGATGGCAAAGGGTGCCGAAACACTCTTGTAAGTTAATCCTACAAAATAATCTAGAAAGTTAAATTTTTGGGGGTGTGATAAAAATTATGGAGTTCCACAGCAAGGACTACCCAAATTAATGGAATCTAGAAATTAATTATTCTTTGTATGTAAGGTCTTGGTTAAGATGAAAAAGCTGGTGTCACAAACGAGATTCAAATTTACAACCTTTGGCACAATGTGTCGTTGCTCAATCCACTTGGACACCAACTCCTCATCTCAACCTACAACCTTTAGAATTTTCTCTCTTTTTGCCATTTTTCAAAGGTTGTAGGTTGAAATGAAGAGATGGTGCCCAAGTGGAAAGAAGTCACGATAGCCCAAGTGGTTAGAGCAGTGGCATGGGTTCGAATCCCGCTCGTGACACTAGCTTTTTCATCTCAACCAAGACCTTAGACAAATAGAATAATTAATTGAAAATGACCTCTAAACATATATGGATTAATAGATTCTAGAAAGTTTACTTATTTTTTAAAAATTCTAGAACTTGGCTTTCTAAAAATGTCGATTCAGCCAAAGAAAAGCTAGCACGCTGCAAACCCGTGCGGGAGGATGTGCAACGACTTCAAGATTCCCTTTGTTCTGACTTTGGAATTAAGGAAGTGAGGTGGGAATGCGGTTGGAACATAACGCACTTTAGGGGTTGCTTGCAGTCATTCCAAACACTTGCTGAACATCACATGGATGCCATGTCAGTCCTAAAAGGTAATTTTTAAGCTCGGCCATGTCTGCAATGATACAATTTTTTATTTTTAAACAGGGAGAACATTAGTTTTTGGAAATGATACAGGCTTGAGCCTAGAAGGCCACGTTTTGCTGAACAGTGGTGAAGTCAGAAACAATTGGCTAGATGTAATAACTTCTTAATTTTTTGATCAAAAAATACAAAAAAATTATAAAATAAATAGTTTTATTTTATTTATTTTTTCAGTTTATAAAAAATGTCGTATATAAAAGGGATGCTGCTCTCCTGACAGTTCCGAGGTTTGAAAAAGCTTTATCCAGGGTATTAAGGGATATTCAAGTCGTCAAGAGAAAATTCCAGGCGAAAACGATGGTGAACCAGTACGAAAATAATTTAAGAAGGTTGACAACATCCTTAAGCGATTGCCAAGGGCGTGGAGGGTATCCAAAGCACTGGCCAGAAAGCTTATCAGACTTTGAATTGGTTGTAGAAACGTAAGCAATATTTATTTTCAATTACTTTATTAATTGTGATCTTCATGTTCGGTGATGGAACTTAGATTGGTTTACTTAAGTTATATATATTATTGTGTTTAAACGGCTTAATTATTATATTGATTTCATTTTAGAGAGGCTGGTCCTTTAATGTTATCACCTATGGGTCAGTTTATCGTACCTTGTTCTTGCCCTTCTACACTCCTTGTCAATTTTATAACCGACAACATGAAAGAGGCCACTCGGCTTTTGCAACAGTACAAAGAGTGAGTTCAGAAGTCTATTTAACTAACACAAACATAATACATGTTACTATTATTATTTTTGTTTTTAGACAAAAACAGGTGGAAAAAGATCTCTATGAACAATGCCTTTCTGATTTTAAGCTTATTGCTTTTGACAAAGACGATTCCATCACACCAGATCCCATGATTTCCTGCTGTAAAAGACTTTTGGGAAATAGGTAATTATCTATTTACTTTTTTTTTTACAAGAAATTGACTTAAAAAACTTTTTGTTTTAGACATCACTTGAAGCAACACTTAAGCGGTGTTAGTTTGACAATTACTAATTATTATTCTGTGATGTCCGACGGACAAATGTGTATCCCTTGGAACTGGAAATTATGAATGTCACTTGATCAAATGTTCGACCAGTATCATATTATAAAAAATTTAAACCATATGTGTACTTTTTTTATGTAATGCGCAAGAATGTACACAAAGGGAATGTAACTTCAGTGATAACTTGCCATAATCCTTGAGTCATGTAGTGTGCATGAATTTAGTTTCTTATATAGGTTGAAACTTTAATAGTCTTTAACTATTAAGAATGTAAAAAAATATTTTTTTCAATAATGTGATAGATTTCTAATTGTTAGATTTATTTATTTTTTTTAGACTTTTATATTTGTTTTTTATTTTTATTTTTTTATTAATATTTTATCACAGATATGCTTATTGTTGAATTTATACAATTGTGTTGTCTTTTTTAAATCAACTTATTGATTAATTGGACTTAATTACAACTTTTAACTGAAATAGAACTGTTACTTCTAAATCCTAATTCAAATTTTAAAGTAGGAAAATTAAATATCATCACAAATTTGATGATTTGATCGAATCTTAAATACTCATGATCTTGAACAATTAATACCACAAAGTGTTGGCTAACAAAATTAACGATCCAAAACCAAAATACTCATTTCAAGCCTATAAACGTGTGGTAGCAGAGGAGACTGGCAAGAAAAGCCCGACAGCATTTCAAACTGAACTATCAACTAAACCATTAACAAGAAGTCCTCAAAACCAAAAGGACTGTATATCATGGTAAACAAGAACTTGCTGAACCCGAGGTCATTAATCCTGCAGAAAAGCATTAAAAGATCTGTGGTTAATAAAAAAAAGTCAGATGGTAAGAAAGATTATAGTGGGGTTAAGGGAGAAAGTGGAGCGGTAGGAGCTTGTCCAGGATTATTAACAAAAACTAATTAAAAATTCAAGTACATATATTTTCTGGCAATTATCTGAGTTGAAATTGAAAAAAAAAGTATTGCAGTTTGTAAAACAGATGTTGAAAAGCATTTGGTAATAACAAGCAGCCAAGTTAGAAAGTTGATAATCAGTTGAGCATAGATTCCGCAGAGGCCGGAGCGTCCACGGGCGACTTTAGATGGGGCAGACACAAAATGTTATAACTTTTGTCCTGACATTGTAAGCAAATTATGGTTCTAGGAGGAATCAGCCTACCTAAGTCTTCACCAACAAAGGACGTGTTCTGCTTCTTCCTGGCTGTAACTGTACAGGCTTGTTTCCTTTTACACCAAGTCTATAAATATGCATCTGGAATCTGCAGTGTCCAGTCGGCAGTCCAACAATTATTTTAGTCCAAACACATTGTAAATTTAATAGTTCTGCTGTTAATTTTTTTTGGTTAATTTTTTTTTTAATCCTGGGCTACATTCCAATTGAACTGAGGACTTATTTTTAATCCATTATCTGATGGATCTACTTTATGGTTTAGTAAGCCATAGAAAGGGTTTAGAGCCAACAGGTGTCCTCATTGAACCTTCTTGGCCAATTTATGTCTTTGTTGCTCCCTCTGCCTTGTGTAATTTTGTTGTTATCCCCAACAAGGTCCTTAATGTAATCCCAAACAACTTAGGACTTAACTATTGATTAAGATCTTAGCCAAGGTGATTAATTTTTCAGCATTTCAAAATCTGTTGTTAATTTAAAAAAAAAGGTAAGAAGACAGCAAAGATGTAGAAGTCTCACTTAAGACCTTTTTCGTTCCTCATTTGGAGTTATAGGGATTTCTCCCTTTATGACATAAACTTTCGTTCCTTTTGTTAAAAATTCCATAATAATTTGTGGGGAAAAATTATCTTCAAAAAACCACATGCAAACAATGATCTAATGATACAGCTGAAGAATTTCCTTTAGATTTTAATTTCTTTTATGAGGCAGAGAATTCTTCTCGTGGGTATTGTATCTTGATCTACGGATCAAGAATGGCTTTCCCTGATTTCCTATTGTACTCCCATTTTAGCATCTCTTGTACATAGTTGACACTGGTCTTTTGTTTATATTCAATTTTTTAAGGCGGTATTTTACTGGATCATGTCTTGTAAATATATCAGAGTTTGTAATTATTTTCTGTTAAGTAGGATTTTCTCTTTCCCCCACTGGGATGTTTTTGCAAGTAGTCTTTTTGCTTACCTCATACTTGGTTTTCGCTCAGTATATATTGTCTTCTTTAGTTATGCTTGGATAAGGCTTATGCCAGAAAAAAGATTTGGGCCTACAAGGCTCCTTTTTTTAGCAAGTATATCTGCTTTGGTGCCAACAATTCCCTCATGACCTGGGACCACTTTACTGATAGCCTATTTCAAGATTTGTTATTTCAGGGAATTGAAGCAGTTTCAGGCCTTTAAAGCTGCCTTGCTTTCTACATAAATGACCCCCCCCCCTCTACGCTTGCTGTTTTGCCATTTCCAATGGTTGGTTAGGATATAAGTAAATAGTGTCAGGAAAATGAGCCCACCAATGATCTAATTCTAATATAATATAATAGAATAAATTTTTATTTTTACATGTGCAATACAATATATACAATAATTATAAGAAAAGTTCGCTATGGCTTCCTACTATTTATAATTAATAATTTTTATATAGGTAAGAGAAATTCCAAAATAATTTGTGGGGAAAAATTATCTTCATAAAACCACATGCAAACAATGATCTGATGATACAGCTGCATTTGTTCACCAAACCAAAACTGCTTATTCCCACACCCAAAAACCCAGACCGATTTGAGACCAACAGGCTCAGATGTCCAAGCTACAGCTAAATCAGTGTTGGGTTTTATAAAAGTACAAAGGACAGTTCGAAGGAAATAATTCCAAAATAAATTTACGAAAAAAGTTGGTTTTTATTTCTTTCAATTCTTTTTCTTTTAAATTTTTTTTAGTTTTTCTTAACAATATTCATAATCATTTAATTATTTATTCAAAGAAAATGTTAACCAATTTTATATATAAATGTACACTGCCGAACAGTTGTCATCTTCACGTGAATTTAAGAAAAGTAGACAATTCTAATTCACATTGTAAAGACAAAAACAAACAAAAATTCAGACACTTCTGTTTTAATAGTTATAAAATCAGAATAAAAGTTAGATATAAATGATGACTATGTTTATCAAATAAAAAACTTAACATATACTTTTACAATAACACATAAATATTTTATTTTAATTTGTTGGTTGACACACGAATTAATTTCTTTCTCATTTTGTTTGTACAATATTTATACTTAACATTATTTTATATAGACTGTACATTTTTTTTTTTGAAAAATTCATACCAATAAAGGCTCTTAAAACAGATAAATACTCTCAGGTGCGGAGTAGCTGCATCCTTTGTTGTTTTCTATTTACACAAGAAAGAATAATAACAGTCATGCTGAAGACGCTTTTAACACTCATCTGGCATTCTGGAATATACGGAACCAAACTTTGCCATATATTTCTTGATAAAATCTTTCGCTTTGTGTTTTACATTTTCATTGCATTCAAGTTCTTCTATTGAAGCAACGTGCTTCAGTTCCTTTACCATAACAAAATGTGTCAGCTAAAAAAAGAAAATATATATTAAATGCGACAACTTATAAGCAGAAGCAGAATTTTGGCAAAATTCTTTGTCAGTGTATTGCAAATGTGATTAGTCTTAGAGGCTAAGAACTGGTGTGATATAGCCACAAGGTTTGTAAAATAAAAAACAGATTTATTTTGAAACTGATTTCATTTGACTTGAATTAATAATTAAAAAATTCCTTTAAATTTCCAATTTCAAACGATGGTTGGTTGAAATCACTTTCCTTTTTATGTTTTAATAAGCCACAGGTGTATCATTTTTGATAAAATTATAGTATTGGTTAAGAACTTTTGTTTTGGTGATAGGGCAAAAAATAGCAGCATTCTAGCCTAGGGACTTTTGTTCCTAGGGTTCTAAAGTACACTATTTCCTGAGCCATTTCAAAGATAAAAGTTTTGTGATTTTTGAAAAAATTGTAGGCATTGGAAGGTGGAAAATTGAAAACAATTATTTTTGATTTTCCCAAAAATTTGTATTTAGGAGTTTTTACGGGTGCAAAACCTATATCAACTTTGTTTTTGCTAAAAAAATATTTAAGCATACTTTGCTTCTCACTGGGTCATAAATTATGTGTTTCAATTCAATAACTGCTAAATATAATTGTGATGAAGTGTCTGAGTGACTTAGCAAAACATATTTTTTAAAGCAAGAAACAATGTTGATATTCATTTTTTGCACCCCCAAAAAATCCCACGAAAACAAATTTTTAGGAAAATAAAAAAATTTAAATGCTATTTAAATAAATTTACAATGTTGAAAGTTTGAATGTTGAAAAATGAGAACATTGGGATTGAGTTGCTAAGTAAACGAGCCTAGACCAAGACTTTTGTCATAACATGTTAATAACAGTTTGGAAAATGGTTTTGCATTTGAAAACACAAAAATGGTTTGTCAAAGTTTCTGTAAATTACCTTTCGTGCAAGATGCTTGAAATCTTCTGTGTTCTGAATTCGTGCGACTTTGCAATCAGATTTTCTATACGGGTTGAGCAATGTAACAATGACATTGGCCATTTGAACTCGGAATTTGTCCTTGATACGTCGCAGAGGGCCGGACAACGAATCGGAATCCATCGATTTAGATTTCCTCACCTTTTCTTTTTTGTGTTTGTGTTTTGCACGAGCAAGTTTCTCTTTGGTTTCCCTTATCTTTGACTTCTTGATTCCCCTCCTGTAATTAACCTCGTTGTCTCTTGGCTAAAAAGAAACAAACAAAATATAATAAAGATAATTTACAAAAATAGATTCACACAAGAAAATGTACAAGTAAAAAATTTAAACTACGCACACTTATGATGTTGACTTGGACGAGTCCTTCCCTCCTCTTTTTCAACTGTGGTTCACTTTCCTGAAACCCAACTGCCTGAGAAGGAGAGTAGTCCTCTTCTAAAGTTTGCAAGGGTGGTTGTTCAACATGTTCCTCTTCTACTTTTCGCTTTTCAGAAGAAACCATTTCCATATCTTCTTCCTCTTCTTCTTCATCCTCCTGGGACAATTTAAAAAAAAAAAAAATTGAATTAAATAGGAAACACTTTTCAATAAATAAAAAATAAAACTTATTCACATATATTGAGTGAATTTAGCAACACTTAAAAATCCATGAACTGTTCACTACACCATGTTTTGATTAACAATAAAAAATAAAGGCAGTGAGCTAAAATTTCTACTGAACAACATAATGATTATTTTCATACATACAATAATAAAATAAACTAAATTACATTATATCAAGACTAATGTAAAACTTCAAAAATAAATAAGCAAAACCTTGTTACCTTGTCTTCATCATCATCAGAACTAGAATCATCATCTTCACTATCGGATTCATCTTCATCTGAATCTGTTTCGTCTTCAACAGTAAAATGCTGAGATGCAACCCATGCATCGGCTTCTGCTATGTCTTCATTGGTGGGAAATTGCCACTGAGACTTTCTAACTTTGACATGATAAAAATAAAATCGGCCTTCTTTGTCTTTAGCGGATTTCCACCCTTGCGGAAGTTTGCGAGGTGGTGGTGGGAGGATAGGGGCTTGAGTATCGACAACCACATTTGGTTTTTGCATAGGAGGCATCTGAATTGTTTCTAAAGAGGGTGGAGGCTGTTGAGGTAAGTACTGAGGAAAGACTTGCGGCTGTTGCTGGGTTGGCGGAGGCGTCTGGAAAGCGATGTGCGGAGGGCCAGAGAATTGCTGCAACGGTGGAGGTGGTTGTGTGAACTGTGGAGGGACTTGGTGGAAAGGGCCGGGAGGCGGAGCAGAGAATGGTCCTGTCACTATTGTCGGGGGCATTCCTGGTGGTGGGCCCAACCCCATCGCACCTCCTGGTACCAGTGGTGGCCCTCCCGGAGGTGGGCCTTGGGGACCGAGTGGCGGGGCCAGTTGTGGCATCGCTATAGTCGGTGGGCCCATTCCAGGAGGAGGCCCTCCCATCTGTGGAACGAATCCAGGCGGAGGGGTGGCCGGTGGTGCATACACATGTGGCATTTGATTAACTAGTGGAGGAGCAGCACCTGGCCTATACATTTCTGCGCTCTCCATCACACTTTCTGTAACACCAAAGAATTTCGTCGCAACTTTTTTCCTAGAGCATACCTTGTTTATCATAGTTTCTAAAACAAACAGTAAATATGAATTTGGATCAGTTAAAATAAATAAATAAATTACAAAATAAATAAAAGTACAGCAATAAAATGTGCTACAATAATGAACGGCAAAGCTGGGCAATGAAGAGATTAGAATCAAAAATTTTTCTAAACATTCTTTTAGAATACATTTTTTCTGTAATAAAAGCTCTCGAATTATTTTCAAGATGACAATAAACATACTTTTTAATCAATACAGTCGACTCTTGATAATCTGAAACCCAAGGGACCACAAAAATAATTTGAATCATCAAGGGATAAGAAAAAATGATTGAATTGATATGCATTTTTTAAAGTTCTTCCTTACTAATTTGTTGAATTCTTGAGAAGTGGTCAAGAATGAGATAGTTTAGAAAAAACCCTTTTTCATTTTTTTATTAAGCCATTTTTACTTATGTTGTAATAAAACATTGTAATAATAATGCAAAAGTGGAAATAGATCCAGTTTAAAATTGAACATAGTTATGCATTACTAAAAAAAATTCATAAATCGGTTTTAGTTTCAATGTGGCCTGGACATTCTTTGTATAATTTTCCAAAGTGACCAATGATGAGAACCCACAGTCAAAACACTGACCGCCAAACATAATAAACTAGAAAAAAAACATCGAAGAAACTAGGCTGTATTAAACAATGCCTGGAAATTCAGAGGAACATTACAAACAAAAATTTTGAATTATAAAGAGGGGAAGTGGCTCCATTTCGATTTATAGAATGCTCTCTATCCCTAAACGAAAAATATTTCTTACTGTGACCTATTGGGGCTTGTTAGTCATTCATGACGGTTTTATTTTCTCATGTCATTTTGGAGTTCCATCCTGGCTCACCACAGGGATAGATCAATGAGTACAACATGGGATCACAATGAGGGCTTAAAACATAAATTAACTTTGGACACTTTGACGCTAGTGCACAACATTGTGTCAATGACCTGGTGGTTCTCCTTTTAAAGAATGGAAAACTAGATATTTCTTTTGCTGTAGGTTTATTAAATCTACGCACAACCATCAGTACACTATAAGCAAAACACAAGTTTAAGTTAAAACTTTCGTCCTGCATTGTTTCAGCTGCAATCCTTTATAAGGCTTTTTTCCTGAGCATACATCACAGCTTTGGAGGAGTCTATAAAATGTAAATGACCATAGGACGGAACACCCTCACAATGCAACAAATCTGATATGAATCGGCCCTTGTATTTTAAAGCAGTAAGATCCAACTTCTGGAATTTCTTTCCTCGTGAAAGAAAAAGCTGTAAATGCCATTGCGCTGTTTAATTTATATATATAAAACAGTGACTGTCTAACAGACAATGCACAAATTAAACTGCTGGATCTAAAGAGCTGAAATTTTGACAGTGCATTTCTGTAATGACATGGATAGCCGCTAAGTAAGGATTTTTTTTTAATCCCATCCCTACAGCGATCATATGGATAATTTTTTACCATACCATACCATACCATTAGCTTCATTAATAAAAGGTCACAGAAGCTGCTACATCACCCAAACAGCTAATGAAGTTGCGTCAGTGATGTTTGTTCAAAAATTTGAGAAACAAGGCACTATGTTAGAAAGCCATACTAGCACTCTGCATCGCATTAGAAAGGTAAATTAAAACAGAGTCCCCCAGGGATGAAGTTGCTAGGTAAAAGCTAGTTGTTCATAAAATTTGGGCAATTAAGGAATAGTTTCTTTAACTCCAAACTGATTTGTCATTTTGAGAGTGAAATAAGGCCTTTGTGGAACAGAGCTTGAAATGGCCGCTGGTTTTTCTCTCAGTGTTTAGATTGCAGTGCACATATCTAACATCCACTGAACCTAAGATGTGCTCGGGTTTGGAGTTCCCCCCAATATAATGCAATAGAACAGTTGTAGGGTTATCATAGGCAACCGATAAAACAAAGAATACAATGCACGATTTAAAAAAAAATTGCTGAAAAGTACTGTAACAGTCTGACGGCTGACGTACAAAGTTTGAATTCGATGCCCCAACTGCTCCCGACCATCATATTTTAATTAATTCATTATCCTTACAATTAATAAGTTATCATTTTGATAATTTTTGGCATACATTTTAGAAGAGGGCTAGGTATGGCCATAATTTTGATTGGTGTTTTGGGCGTTCACAATTATGTGTGTTTATGTTTAGTGGTCTAATTGACCGAATTACTTCTTTCAATTAATTATTCTTTTTATGGTCTTGGTTGAAATGAGAAAATTAGTGTCACTAGCCGGATTTGAACCCATGACCTTCGGCTCAATAACTGCAGCTCTAGCCACTTGAGCTATCGTGACTTCGATCCACTCCATCTCAACCTACATTATTTATAAAGGTTACTGAGTGTATGAAAATACATTTTTTCAATTTACCAAAGTGACCCATTGAAGAATTAGTATTATCCAGAAATTCAAATTAACAAGAGGTTGACTGTATATTGAGATAAATTATTGTACCAAAAAGTCTTTTATTAACCAGCCTAGCAAATTTATTTATTTTTTAATTGTTTCAATACTTTGTTTGTATATTGTTCAACAGTTTGTTCTATACTGTCCAATTAATACATTATCTGTATAATTTTGTGTTGAACAGTAAAATAAGCAAAATAAAGATATCAATTTGAACCTGTGACATAATTATAGACATTTTTATTTCATCATGGATTTTCAATTATATTTTTTAAACTTCCGATTGTAGGTGGATCTTTTGCAGATTCTGGATGATTTGCAATTCCTGTCATATAAGAGAGTTTAACATAGAACTACCTGCTGAGTGTAGCAGACGAGGGAGTCAAACCACTTAAAATACCTTATACTATTCTCAATTAGAAAGCCATGGGCTCTGTTGGGATTCAGACTAAGAACCGCTAGCTAGCGTGGCAATTACGAGTCAGAGCCTTAACCACTTGGCCATCGAGGTTCCAAGATTCTGGATAAATTCAATTTGTAACTTATACCAGCCAGCAAATATTAGAGTTTTGGATTCTTCAATTGATTGGAATATTGTGATTCCTCATGGGGTCAGAGGGTAAAGAACCCTTAATTTAAATGTTTCTGATCATTTTTCTTTGCCTATCCAAACTTTTTATCTGAATGTTGTTTTTTGTTTTCTCGCCATTTTCAGTACTTAGTCTGTGCGGTTTTTATTTGATTGAGTCCTTTCATAAGTTTGTGGAAAGCTGAAAGGAGTGTATCAACATTATCTTTGTCTGTTGTTGTTTTTAACTTTTTTGTAAGTAGATCAGGTTCTTGTGTTTGTTCTTTTTCTCTTAATGCAGGTGTTTATATGGTGTAAATTATGTGTGTGAGTTGTGGTTAATTTGTGAATTATTATACATTACCCTCTTAGTGCTTAATGTATTGTGTTTGTATATTTCTTTCTGTCCTTTTGTGTGTGTGTCGCATAGTTTGTCCGTTTTTGTCTCATATGTTCTTAGTATCTGCTTGTATTTTCTTGCATACAATGCAAAGAAACATACAATCTAATCTACTTAACAAATTAAGCAGAGAAACTACAACAGAAACATTTCTTGAAACAAAACATCAATAAGACAAACCCACTAAACAAAAATGGTATATACACAATAACATGCAAATGTGGATAAAATGTCTAAATTTGTTGATGAGGATAGAAACACGTAATTATGATCAGTCTTATATGTGTCACCAAGTCAATTTTGATACTGTAAAACAAGCTCAAACGAAAAATTTCTCAATTTCTGATAGATTTTTCCCTGAAAATAGATACTAAATAGCACTCACATTGGAAAATTATTTACCTTTTGATATATAGAATGTTTTGGAAACCTTTTAAAAATTCAAACACTCACGGACAGTTTTGAGACTGTTGTTATGATGAAAGAAAATAATCCCATCAATGTAAAGTAGTAAGTGTCTATAATTATGTCAAAGGATATCTCATATCTACTTTACTTTCTTGTCCATCTTATCGATGTTTTCTTATGAGAATAACATATGTTTAAATAGCATAACACAAGTAATAACATAACAACAAGTAATAACAATAACATTTTTGAGAAAGTTTTAATTGTGTTCCTTTGTTTCTACTTAAATCTATAATGATCTTATCATGTTTTCAAACTATATATAAATATTTAAATATTCGGTCTTACCTGGAGGTAATGGTTGCCAAGTTCCAGTTTGTGGATGGTAAAATCCAGGGAAACCATTATGCTGGTTGAAAAATGGCGTCTGAGCTGGATCCAAGCCGAGAGCTGAACACTGTTCTTGGTGTTTATTCCACATTTCTTCCACCTGCCTTTTCTGTCTTTCTTCTTCTTCTACCTGCAAAGCGAAGAGCTGGCGACGCTGAACTTTGGTTAATCTTGGGCTGGTCAATGCACCATTTCTAAAAACAATCCAAGGTAAAATATCATTTTAATTTTGGATAACAATTTACTTGTTTTACCTTTCTTTGTTTCTTCTATCGAAATTATCTCTACTGTCTGGTGAATCTCTTCCAGCTCTTCTTTTGTCCTTCTCCTTGTAACGGCCAGCATCCCTCTCATTTGGCCAATGCCTGTAACCAACACCCCCTCGACTGAAGGTTTCATATTATTAATTATGTGAAAAGCTAATAATAATAAAAATAAACCTTTTTGGGACGATTTTAGGATGCTAAAATACATTCCGCTACCTATATTCTCGGCCGCTATGTGACTCTCATAGCCTGATTTATTTTGCATTGTACATCAAATCGGTTCGCAATAATTCTTCTCAAAATTTGACAGTACATTCCTCAGATATTATAGTTTTCAACAGAAGTAAGAAATTGAAGGAGAAAAACTAAGTTTTATTTAATTTATTTTTTACAAAAAGTATTCATTATGTATATTAATATAACATAACCAAAAAAACAAAATAAATAATGGTTTTTATTTAGCACTGTACACGCATGTACATACAAACACACAAGTACAAAGTAAAAAACAATTATACATTTAAAATAAGTGTATACATGTAAATGAGAACAAAAATACATTATGTAAATTACTGAGAACGTAAATAACGGCACTTGACAGGCAAGAAGCAAAAAATCAGAAAGACAATAGAGAAGATGGTAGGCAAGAGAAGAGGGGAGGGAAGAGAGATAGCAAAAGTAGGGCAATCCCAATGAGATGGAGATATTGTAGCTAAATGGTTGGCCAGAAAACTTATTGTACCGCAATTTCACAAAAGTTCGAGGGAGAGGCCAGATTCTGAACAGAAGGGGGATAAAAGGATTGTTTGCTGCTGATGAGGACGGTGTCTTCAATTTTTCCAAGATTGCTACACACTAGATACAACCTCAGCCCAATGCCAAGTGCCCAGCTAGAGCTCTTAAAATGCAAAAAATACAAAAAAAACTGTCTCAAGGCTTGTGGAATGTATAAGCCTGAACAAGGCAACTTGTCACTAGTCCCAGAAAGGTTAAAAGCTAAATATAAAAGAAGACAAGTTAAAGAAAGAAAAATATCTTACCTGTCATAAGTGAGATTGTCCCTTGGATCACAGTAGCCCCTGTCTGAAAAGAAAAATTTACAATCACTCTTTCATGATTGTTTTAATTAATTTTTATATTTTAATTAATTTATTTACCAGCTTCACGCTCATGTTCTTTCATCTGTTCTATTCTCTCTTTCTTTGGAATTCGGTACTCTTCTTTGAGATCGGCCCATTTTGAAATGAGACTTTTGGCTAGTTCTACAATGGCTAGAGAGTCTTCATCGTTCGGAGGTGACGCTTCAGGCATTTGGCCGTCTTGGCTATTCCCGCCTTCGCCTTTTGGAGTGATTGTCTCTACGGAGTCTGGTGAGCCATCATTCGAATCTTCACCAGTTCTAAAACAAGTTTTGAATAGTTCAGTCACATTATTTGTTTTTATAATTTCTGATCTATGATGGCCTATTTGATCTGATTTTGTCTAACCGACAAAATTTGGCACTTTGCTTGTTTCAAGAGTTCAGACCAACCAAACCAGTGAGAATAGGCAGGCAAAGTTAAAAAGTTGAACAGAAATGATCTATTTAGGTATTTAATATTTTATTTCCTTAGGTTAAAATTGTAAGATGACTTTTTTTTAATTATACACACCTCTCTTTTTTATCTCCCAAAGATGTATCATCAGGATTTGCCCATTTTTCAACTATGTTTAGAACTTTAGTGTCTTTTAGGATGGTTTTGTTTGTAATCGGCAGTTTTTCTAAAGTTTTAAGAAGCTAGAGACAAAAAGAAAAAATTAACATGTTGTGAAAAATTACATGATTATTAAATACCTGAAGCCTGAATTTGGCAGGAGCCTGATTGTCCATCATCCATGACCACAAGAGCGCAAGCCCATGATAGTCTAAGAAGAGTCGAAGGCACAACCTATCAGCTGCTATTGCTATCTCTAGCAATTGAGACCTAGAGACGAGATCTTCCGCCCGCACCATGAGCCTGCTTAAAGTAAGTGTATGTGCTTGGTTCTTGACACCGGTTGCGCTCAATTTTTCTATTTCCTCTTCCAGCTGGAAACATGGTTTCATGTCAGTCATCAAGGCTTTGTTAAAAATGTCCAGTTCACTCACATCCATTTCGTTAACATATTCCCTTCGTTTCTCCTCTTTTTTCTTCTTCTCTTTGTCTTTCCTCTCTTTGCGGTTCCAACTCTTATCTTTATCTTCTCTGTCCTTTTCTTTATCTGGATCTTCTCCAATCCAGCCGCGACAATTCAAGCTCTCGCAGTAACACCTCTGTGCCTCTTTTCTGAAAACATAAAAACAAAATCATACTTATGCCATTAAATAGAAATTGAATTAAATTTCAATTACCCATATCTTTGAAGTTGATAATCAAACGTAACTTCTTCTCCTTTTGCAATGGCTCTCTTGCTGAAAAATCCTATCCTCAACTCTCCATTTACTGTCCACTATTAAAACAATAAAATACAATAAAAAATTGATTTAAATATATTTATTTGTGAGTCATCTTACTTTTTGTGTTTCTGCATTGGGATCGCAGCTATGATTGATAAACCTGGAAATGTTCCCTTTGAACGTTGCGTCTATGATCGCATCTGATTTCAACGCCATGAAGTAAAAATGTCGTGACTTCTCTTTAGAATAGTCTTTCGCTCTTTTACGAAACTCTTTGGGGTCAATGACTTCTCCGACATACTCCATTAAAAAAGCACCACTGGAAATTGAAAAATATTATATTTATATTATTATAATCGCTATTATAATTATATTATTATTATTTTTAATCTCCTTGTGTTTTTGAGAAAGTGAGAATACATGTAGAATGTTATCAGAAATATACACGGCTTGAAAAGGCTTTCAACAAGCTGCACCTGAAACTGATATTTTTCTATTGGGCTTTCAAAACTTGTTATTTCATAGGGAAAAAAAGTTTCTGAAATGCCCTGATAAACAAGAGACTTTTATTAATTTTTTCCTGATTAACTAAAACTTAACCTCTTTCATGCTTTGCTTTGTTCGCTTCCTTTGGTGCGGATCTCCCCCAACTTCATTCACACTTCAGCTATAATCCCTTGTATGACTTTCCAGAGTGTCACTTGGTTGGTATGCACAACAGTCAGAATCGTCAGATTATCGGACTATGGGCAGTGCGGGCCTCAAAGCGATTAGGAAATGAGTGAGGAGCATTCTTGAGAGTTGTTCAATCCTGAGATCTCTGAGCATTGTTTTAGTGCACTCGGATGTGCATACATGTGCCCCACATCAGCTGATTTGAAATAAATGTTTCTGGTGTGATTGTATGAGAGATTCCCTTAATTTATTATTTAAATTAAGGTATTTCAATGCCTTGAGGTTCGGCCCTAGATCCAATGCAGTTTCATATGTCACCACGAGGTCGTCGTTTTCTTTCTCCCTAATTGGCGGTGACAATAACTGACTTGAGTCTAGTCCCATCCGGTGATTGGAGGGGAATTTCAACAATGAACTTAGACCAGCGATTAGGACCTGGAGTGCCTCTTATTGTTTTTGAGCAATTGTTTAAAATGGGAAAGCATCTCTGCACCAGTCCCAGATACATTTTGCTATACTGGAGTCCATCATCGCCTCCCTCATACCCATTGAATTAGTCCTAAGGCATAGGCCAAGTACATTCAAAGATCCATGGAGCCATCAGTTAAATATTTCATACACTGGATCTAATTCAACCAAATAGTGTGATTTTCCAGAGGCCCTCTTTTCAAGTTTGAGAGAGACTATAATCCTTTCTCCACGGCTTGATAGATTTAGTTTTCAAAATAAAACAACACTCCTGCACATTGTTTCTATTTAACACAGAGGAAATTTGCAGAAGTGAAAGGTATAGGCTAATTTTAAATCTGGCTAAGGTTTTATCCAACCAATGGAACTTTTAATTTAAAAAATAAAATGAAACTAAAATCTATAGCAAGTTTAATTAGGTATGGATAGTGTTTTTTATAAGTGATCAAATTCAATTCGTAATAACAAATTATAGGATAACTACCCAAACTGAAATTACAGTTCAAAGATCTGTAAAAATTTTGGAAAATAATTCCTTAATGTGTGGTGATTAGAGACCGTTAATCGATATTTACTTAGAAATCGTGAGATGCAGTCTGGTGTGATGTAGGTTTCAGAAAAACATTTTCTTTATCAGGCCAACGTTTCGGCCCTGAAGATGATCTCAATAAAGATCATCATAGATAATCTTAAGATAGAAGATAATCATCAATTGGCACGATAAAGAAAATGTTTTTCTGAAACCTACATCACATCAGACTGCATCTCACGATTTCTAAATAAATAATTCCTTTATGTTTGGGTAATGAAGCTGTAAGTTTTATAAATATTAATTTGAGAATTAAACTACTTCTTCACACAAGAAACTTGACTAACACTTAACTATTGTATTTAGATAGTACAATAATATTCATTGGAGAGCTACAAATTTTCCAATATACTAATTGATAAATGGAAAACAAAAGTACTGTTTTAAAACTTAATTCATTTTTTTAAATTTAATATATTTATTACAATGTGTAACATTATTTTCAAACTGTAATGAATTACATGTATAAATGACATGGATCATGTGTGTTGTTCTCCCAGTTAAAAATGTAAACTAACATACCATTCAATATTAAATGAAGCGATTAAACCAAGACCTTTCTTCATTGTTTTAACTACTTCACATTTAGAATATTCACAGTTCTGGAAGCGTTTATTAGAACAAAGTGTTCCAAGTGAACATCGGGAACCACTGAAACACAATAAAGTTATAATTTGATAAAATAATGAATTTAATATAAGCATTAGTAGTATAAGTTACCATTCAATCATGAGAAGCCTATTAAGGCAGTCGTCACCACAACCCTTTTCCCCTCTTGAGATTTCTTCTTTAGTAAGAGTACAATCGCATACCATCCTTTTTGCCTCTTTACTTTTTGTCCGTGGCAGAAGGTAAATGTTACTCGTTACCGTTTCATAGGTTTTCAGCCGCTCTTCAATCTCCGGGTGGGTGGTTATAAGAGGCAGCTTCGCCGATGCCATAGGTGAAGGCAACGGTGTATCCAAACAAGGGCTGTTCTGGCTTTCTGATTTAATACTGAACGTCGAAATGCTAGAAACACTCGTATCTGAATCACTGGTGATGCCTGTTCCCATTTCTAACTCAGATGTCCTTCTCCACCTGGATTTAACCTTGACAGGTTTATCAGCATCGAAAAGAGGTGGAGGTGGCGGAGTCGAGGTTGAAACAGGGGTGGCTACTGGTTGGACAACTGGAGCAACAGGCGGAGGAGGAAGTGGAGGAGGCAACGCTACTTCTGTAATAGTAGAATCTTCCCACCGATTCACTCGAATTCTGTTGCTTCTTCTTCTAACAGCAGTACCTTCAGGCTTCTTGATATCATCTTTCTTGTCGTCCGTTTCATCTTTTTTCAGTTTTAAATCTTCACCATTCAGCTTTTTGGTGTCGACAATGGGTTCTTTAACCGGCTGTTTTTTCTGTTCAGAAGATTTTAAGCTTTCCTTCATGGCTTGAGACTTTTTAGTTTCAGGAAATTTGACTTCCTTTGCACTCACGTGTTTTTTGTTTTCAGGGGATTTAATTTCTTTAGTAAACAATTTTTTAGATTCAGGAGATTTAAATCTTTCTTTAGGGTGCAATTTTTTTTTGTCTTGAGATTTTATTGCTTCTTTAATTGGCTTTTTAGATTCTGGCTTTGCAGTATCTTTATTTACAGCTTTTGAGTTATCCTTAGAGAGACATTTTTTGCTATCTGACAATTTCTTTTCAGGTGATTTTTTGTTCTCAGCAGCTTTGTTCTTCTTTTCGTGTTTTTTATTAAGACCAAGTTGTTTCTTTGATTTGAATACTTTTAAAGGTTCTGTAAACATTAGACTAACATTATCCAATGGTTCTGAATTTTTTGTTTTATCAGCAGTCTTAAGATCATTGCATTTCTCCGGAGTTTCTTCACTATTTTCCATCCCACCAAGCTCCATCTTTTCCATCTCTCTGAATATTGGTTCTTTCTTTGGCATTTCATTATATTCATCTTTTACAGTTGAATTTAAAGGGGAAACATCCACCTGCATCGAAATTTCATGGTGTATTAGAGGCACATATACTTTCCCTGGAGGCTCATCTGACTCTAGAGTAATTTTTAATTCATTTAACTTTTCCTCTGTTTCTTTTATGGCTGATACAGATTTTGAGGAAATATCAATGCTTTTTTTTGGCGAGTAACATTTATCAGTCTCACTTCTTTTAACATGTAACAAATCTGAATTTTCAAAATCATCTTTTGTTAAGGGTTCTATGGTATCCCGTTTATCACTAGTCCGAAAATTGTTCACATCATCCTCAATTTGCCCACTGACACTTTCAATAACAATATCACAACCGATGTTTTCATTTACTTCCTCATCTTCATCGAGGATGTCGTATTCCTGATGGATTGTCACGTTTGTGACATCCCCAACGACAATCTGCTGAATATCAATGGGTAGCAGATTGCTCGTGTTGTACGGCTCGTAATCATCCTCGTCCTCTTGGCTGCTCGTGCTGTACCTCCTTGTGTTTTCCATGTAGCTAAAATTACTATAAACTGTACAATTGCTGGAGGCGTTAGTCTCAGATGCTTCAGCTTCACGAGCTGACGTAGGAGATTCGACCACTTTTCCCGGTGACTCTTCTTCACCAGCCCCATTTTCATTATCATCATCGATACCGTTTACACTTTGATCACTTTCACTTTTCTCAGATGTCCGTTTCATAGATACTGGTTTCGCCCGTTTCTTACGAGGCATGACAACTAATTATCAAACACCACTAATGTAATTTAGAAAAACCTGTAACAAAAAATTATTATTATTATTAATGTATGCTTTTTTTAATATGTTATAAAACTTAAATTAACTATTTAATTCCATATTACTTCAGGTGCAAGGAATTTGAACAAATTTCGTTTGATCCACAAAATGAAAGTAGTGGTGATGGACTATGATGGATGGTAGGGCCAACAGATTTTGTATTTGCCAAGTTAGTGGGTTCTGGGTTTGACCCTTGAAATTTTAATTGAGGAATGTGGGGGAAAAAGATATGACGTCCATACCCATCTTCGAAACCGTCTCCAAAGTATGAGTAGCAGTGGTGGCTGAATCGAACTTAAATTATACAAATGATTTTTTTGACTGGAAAAATGACTCCAAAAAATGACAAATGCTCACCAAAAGCTGCATACAACAATAACACGCCATCCTGTTCTATCACAATAAGCTGAAATTTAACCTCTAAGCGACATGAAAGGCTTAAAGAAAGCAACGCTGAATGAACAGAATCTATAATGATCATACTTCATGATCTCTTAGCTGTACTTGCTTCTGCAAAAATTGGGACGATGATATGTTAGCTCAGGTAAGTTTTACATTCCCGTCCTACGTTTGTATGAACTGATGTCGGGGGTTGAATGCAGACTTCCAGCTGATTCAGAGCATATTGATGAGCTGTACTGTAGTGATTCAGAAAGTAGTAAGCATTAAACAGAATAGATGCATTTGTCATGTTAAGTTTATTTATTTTACAACTGAATGATTTATTTAATCAAATAACAAACTTGACTTACATACTGATCTGTAAGACCAAGATAACATGCCACCCAATTCCATCACACAAAGCTGAAAATAGAAGGTTTTAAAGAAAGCAATCCTGAACGAACAGAATCTACGATGATCATATTTCATGATGTTAGCTTTACTTGCTTCTGTGCAGTATATATACTAAAACTGGAATGACGATCTGTTAGCTTGGGAAAGTTGCATACTACCGGTCCTATGTTTATATTAACCAATGTCGTCAGGGAATGCAGACTTTCTAGCTGATTCAGAGCATATTGGTGAGCTGAATTATAGCGATTCAGAAAGAAGTAGTCAACATTACACAGAATGGATGTATTTGTCATATTAAGTTTATTTATTTTAATTAGCATGACTGAATGATTTATTTAATCAAACAACAAACTTGACTTACATATTTATCTATAATACTAAGATAACACACCACCCCACACCATCACAATAAACTGAAAATCAACCTCTGCGAGACAACAGGTTTTAAAGAAAGCAACCCTGCATGAACAGAATCTACGTTAATCATGATAATCATATCTCATGATGTTAGCTTTACTTGCTTCTGTGCAGTACATATACTAAAACTCGAATGATGATCCGTTAGCTTGTGTAAGTTGCATACTCCCGTCCTATGTTTATATGAACCAATGTCGTCAGGGTTGAATGCAGACTTTCCAGCTGATGTAGCACATAATGGTAAGCTGTGTTGTACGGTGATGTGTTCAAAACCACCAGTAAAGATGGCGAGATGACAAAACTCATTTGACTCGACAAATTTCTCAACACAGCATCCTTTAATCTTTAGTTTATGTATGCCCTGATGTGTATTTTTGACCAGTCAAAGTTCAAAATTAGCATCCAATCAGAATTCAGAATGGAATGCATGTCCAGAGCAATTCAGAAAGAAGTCAGCATTAAACAGAATGGATGCATTTGTCATCTTAAGTTTATTTACTTTAATTAGCACGTCTTTATGATTTGTTTAATGAGATAATAAACTCGACTTACAAATTGATCTGTTCTTTTCAAAAAAGAAACAAAAATCTGATTCTATTAATTCTTCAAAACCAACAACTTGGGGTTGTTTTTTCCTGGCTCTACTCACATTCTGAACGCGTTTTAAGCCCGTTTAGAGGGCAAAGCTTACATTACAAAAAAACGGACCAGGTCCGAAATCTCAAGTTGATTTTCTCACCAATGGATCTTCTGTGATGGAGGGGAAAATCCATAAGTGGGATAACCTGATGGGGACCGGCCAGTGAACTATCACAGTTGGAAACAGCTTCAAATCCAAGATACAAGCCGGACAAAACGCAAACCATAGAAAATCAAAACAGTTAAGTCCTGGGATGGTGAGAAAAAAATTTTTTTTTTGAAAACCTCTTGTGTTAAAATTGGCTAAAGGCATATGCGGCTCGTCTAACAGCCAGAAATAAAACTCCATACTCATCTGGCTTAAGTCATACTTACCAGAATTATGACACAAACTCTTGTTCAGTTCTATGGCAATAATTTGAAAAGTTCACCACTCGCCACTTCCTAGTACACTCAAACAGATAAAAAGCATCCATGTTGGACGGACCGAAGCGGCTGAGGTTACTTGATAAACGGCGGAACGCGAAACTAAAAGATAATTACATCCGATTTAAAAAAAATACAAACTATGCAAGTCAAGTGTTAAAAACTGGCAGTAAAATGCTTAATCAATACAGTAAGTTATATATCAGTTATATATAATTTAAAATCTTAACATGACTCAAAAGTTTATTTTTTTGGAGAGGGTAAATACCAACAGACACTATGCCAAGCACTCTGAGAAATTGATTCATTAAGTACCCTTTGTTCACAAAAACAGCAATTATTAAAAAAACAAATCAAGATCGACAAATAAAATGATGTGTATGATATAATGAGGTTCATTTAAACAAAAATAAACACTTAAATTGACACAGCACATTCAATTTAACTCATGATTCAAATAGTACAAAATGGATCATCTTAGAAATTGATTTTATTGGTCTTTTCAAATTTGTAAATAATAATAATTTACCATTTATATTTTGATAACTACTTCAAGATTAAAAGGAAAAAGTTTCTACTTAAAAAAATCTCATACAAAAGAAGTTGCAAAGGTTTTCATTTGACAGCTGGTTTCACAAACAAAATTTTTTCATGATGTAGTCTGTTTAATTAATTATTAACATTTGAAGCTATTACTAAATAATTAAATTAGGATTAAATCAAATTAAAAGAAAGAAAACAATTTTTATTGGCAAAATTAACAATTTACAAAATATAATTACATTAAATTTCAAGCTTGGCATAGTCTGCCAGACTTTGGTGTTTCTTTTTCTGTTTCATGTTAGATGTATCGACCACATTTTTACTCACGAATAATCTTGGTCTCAGTATGGTGAATGTTAACTGTGAATCACAGAACTTGTTAATATTGGGACTGAGTCGGTCTGCAAAGAAATTTGCAACTATCTATTAAAAAATTAATTATGTTAATTTATAGATTTTAAAATTATTTTGCCCTGATGAATTATTTTAAGTTGAAGTTGGCAGATAATTATATTTGTAAATCTGCACCAGACTGCACCAAGATCAGATTATTTGTGCATATTGATTTTAACAACACAATTTCATTAACTTTAAAGTTATGTAACATGCAATACACATAGGCCCTAAATCTAATTACGATCTGAAATAATACTCTTTGCTTTTATTCCATGTAATAAAATCTTTAAAAAAAAATTACTGGTTCAAAGAGGTAGCTACATCCCATGTAGAATCAGTGAATGGGCCAACACAAGGCATTCACAAAGAAATGATGGTCTTACCTAAATTCAAATTACGCAGAGAACATCTTTCCCTGAGTGGGTCTTTACTCAACAAGGGAAAATAATTGAGAAACAACTCACCTCTCTTGAAAAACTCAATTGGCTCAAATTCAATCCATGTTGCTGTAGCCAAAAACACCGAATTCCATATCTGACTCTAGAAGAATTCTATACAAAGAAAATGATTATACACCAGCTCTTCTTACTGACTTCTCCTGATAAAGTATTTTTATTTTTGAAAAAGTGTGGAAAGTTGAATCTTCCACTAGGGCATATTGTCTATGGAATGTTCAAACTCATAAAAGTAATGGCGAGATAAAATACCCCGGGGATCAAACCAGAGAACCGGATACCGTATTGCCTCCATGACTACGTTTACGAGGAAGAATAACACATCTAACTTCTTCCAAATCGTAGGACGGCTATTGGCTTCCCGAGTGTTTGATCTTTATTTATTCTGCAGTATTTATTGTAGTTAGTTGATAGTTAATTATTGCATCTGTTACTTGTTATTTATTAGTTTGTGTCTTCAAATTGTTAGTTTTGTCAAAATGTAATTTATTTGGTAGGTCTGCACTTTAATTTGTTCATTGTTGTTTGTGTTTATTTATCCTTTGTTGTCGTTTTCGTACCGAATTTTTGATTCTTAGTACTTACTGTGTTGATCAATATTGCTCTCGTTACTTGTTATTTATTTATTGCTTTATGATTCTGAATTTCTAGTCAAGTTAAAAAATGGAATTTGATATTTCATAGATGCATACTCTTGCAGAATGTTCCAAAAGAAAGCAAAAAAAAAAAAACTTCTAACTAATACTTTCCTGTTAATTATTGGGCACTCATTTTTTCAATTTTATTTTTACTACACATATATGTTGCATGTTTGACTGTCTCCCTCTAAAATTTAACATATAATTCAACTTATTTGCATCAGAAACTAATGGTCATTAGTTTCATTGCCTAAATCTAGTGTTAAATTTTTATACAGGATATGGTAGGTGGAATTTTCTGCTTTATTGAGTAATAAATTTCTAAGCTCAATTTTATTGTCACCTAACAAACATCCTAGTGCCTATTTTTTCATGATTATTTATACACTAAGACATGTTTGATACACAATTTTTTGAATTTGATAAAAAAAATATTCTGTTTAATTATTTTCTTTCTAACATTTTTGCAAACTTCTGCAACTTATTTTTAATGGTATTTTTCATAAATTAAACACATTATCCATTCATAAGTGAGTTTTTTTATTTGTATTTAAGTGGTATCTTTTATTGAGAATAAAAAAAAGTAAAAATAAAAACTGAATGAGAGGATGAGAATTTTTTCTTGACAAGCCAACATTTTGTGTATTGCCCAAGTGGAGAAATATGCTGGTTGACCATAGGATGATCTCGTTACCAGTCCTAACTACAACTAGAACTAGAAAACAAAATAGCGTGATATTCACTTTCATTCCTTCACACAAAAGGTCTGAAAACGTCTTCCTAATCAACAGTCCAAACTCTTTTGCACAAGAATCAATGAAAAGAAGACTGTAAAATTAAATTTAAAAAAGGCAAATTATATAAATGAAAGTAATTTGTTGTTCACTATTCAGAGAATTTTTAAAATCAGAACCAAACATCTAAACGTAAATGTTAAGTTGGGAGGAAATAATCTGAATTTAAGTGTACATTGTGTAATTTAAACCAACGCAAGAATACTTTCTACTTTTGAGTATGATGACCAGTTTTTAGTGAAAAAAGAAAATGCACTTCTCCATGTGATATGCAGAGGGCTTCTGCTTGAGCTCCATCACTTATTATTAGACAACACATTACAGCACACATAGATGGCCATTGTTTTTTGTTTTTTAATTTTTATACACAATTCTTCGCAGATGAGGGTTGTCATTGTTTTAGTTTTGAGAAATGCATTCTGTCCCATACATACAAAATCTTTTGATCTGACTGGCATAACCAGTTATTAATTTTTTAAGATATTGTGTTGAGGTCTGCGAGAGCGTTGGCCTGTAGATTGGTGTTCTCTCATCCTGTTTTGTCTTATCTCTCTTGGATTGTATCTCAAATGCATTTGGTTATCTTCAGCACTGGTTTGTTTAAAATGGTAATTTGTTGTATGATACTAATTTGAAAGTATTCATATTTTTTCTGTAAAACTCTAAACAATGAATTCAGGCGATATTTCTAAACTATCTTTCTATAAATATGTATATGTTATATATATTCACACACAATTCAGTTTTATAATTTATAAACTAACATTGTTTACGCTTATATTTGTTATTTATATTTGTTTACCATTAAACCTGATTAGGCCTTTTGTCTACTTTTTATAATAATTTATTACTTAATCTAATGAATTAGCTTTGGTGCAATATTAAAAAAAAGAAAGAAAAAATGCAGTAAAAAATCATTTTTCATAATAGAATAGTTGTCAGTATTATCAGAGAAAGTGTAATAATTATACAAAATATTTGATCACATCTTATATTTTGCTTAATTAGTTTTAATTACATTTACATTGTACCTTGTTTTTGTTTATTGTGAGAAAATTTTACAATAAATATAGCAGTTTTACCATTTTCATTTAGTGTGCTGTTATTATTATTAAACTATCACATTTTACAATTAATTTGAATCAAGCTGTTTCAATTATCTAATCTTGGATTCGCCATTCTTGAACTTTATTGGGGCTGATGTCTTTGGCTTCTGTTGACGCCAGAAATCTTGTCGTGTGGTTAGAAAATCGATTCCTTCTTTGGCATGAAGCGCAACATCATTATTAGCAAAATCTTGATTTATTGATATCACATCTGAAATACATTAATCAATTTCAATTAATATGATGTACTTGTTGTTAAAATAGATAAAATACCTAGTTTCTTTGTGAGTAACTCTTCTAAATAAACTTTATCAGCATAAAGCTCTCCTAGGAGGTGCTTCTCAGCTTTTTTCAACCCGACGTTCTTTTTCTTGAGTTTGAGCCCTCCCTGAATGCTATTTTGACTTTTTCCTTTAGTGATCTCTGTTGTTGGCTTGCCCAAGTCTAATACGGCAGTTTTATAAAGTTCCTCGACCGTTTTGTAACCTTTCAGCATATTTGTAATTTGCTCCGTTGAAGCCAGTAATCCTGTAGTTCTACCTAAACCGAGTAGTATGATATCATTATTTTTTTTGTCTTTTTGTCTATCTACAATTTTCAACTTACTTCCAATAATATTTTCAATGGCTTCTTGAGCTTTTTGAACACCAAGTCTGAAACCCTCCATATCTGGCCTGAGTCTAAGTCCTCTGTGAAAGTACATAAGACTGTGTTCAAAGTTACCCAAATAGTACAAAGCCTCCGCTTTTTGGAATAAGGCTAGAAATATATAAATAAATTGAATTGAATAATTAAGAAAGGATTTTATGTGTACAATACCATTTGCACAACTATAAACCTATATTCAAAAATAAGAAAAGCCAATAGTTGCTTGATTAACTCTGAATAAATACTTAATTAAAATGACAAATAGTTGATAATGCAAAATAAGTCTGCAGTTAAAGCTTTTTATCAATTTATGGCCAAATAAATTAAAAAGGTATTTTCATTGTACCTTTAATAAATGAAGCATCGATTGAAAGTGCAGCTTCAGCATCTTGAAGAGCTTTTCTTGCTTCGCCAAGTAGAAGGTAACATTTGCTTCTTGCTACTAGAGCCTGTTTATCTTCTGGGTTCAAATCCAAAGCCTGAAGAAACATGTTAATTAATATATACATAAAATACTTTAAATCAAAAGGCATTTTTGAATAAAACAATAAAAAACTGCATCTTTATAAATTTATATTTGTTTTCCTCTAAAAAGAAATAAATGAATGCCTTGTTGATAAAAGAAAGAGCAATGTCGGTTCTTTTTGCAGTCATTTCATATCCAGCAAGTGCAAGCAGTGCGCCTGGTTCGGTCTCCTCTGGTAGCTGGAGAGCTTTGCTTTTCTCTTGTTTCCTTTTCATTTTCAGAGACTGCTTAATATCTCTCGAGCCCATGTTGACTGCTGCAGCCCTATCTTTGTCAGTGTAACATTCTTCGTAGCGGGTCCTGCCCATTTTCTTTGCTTTGTTTGACTTCAGCTTAAGCTCTTTGCTTAGTTGCCAAACACCGTGCGAACCTCCAGGTGGAGCCGGTCCTGAGGTGATAGGAGGCTCTTTTGGCGGGGGTGGGGCATGAGCGTGTGATGCCTGTTCCTTGGTGTCCTTATCCTCTCCACCTTCGGCCATAAAAAGGAACGAGGACATCACCTCTGTGTCCCTGGTGACCCTTGATGCCACTTGAATCCTATTAACCCATTTTGATTATTCACAATTTTTGTAAAAATATTTTATACTTGTTATAGTAATTTTGAGTATTTATTTGTGTTCTTTTTTAAAATATATTTTTTATCATGTAAGGATTAAATTAATAATCAATATTATAGACACAAAATAAAACAAATATAGGTAAGAATATGGATTGTATGTTTTAAAATTTGAAATGCTAAATTGGTGGAAAAAATCCAAAACTTTTATCCATTTTAAAATGTTAATAAGGTAATTTTAAGGTGTGATATTTGTAACTAAAATCAATAATAACTATGAAGCTTTAATGTCAAGACTACTTTGTTTTAAAGGCTGGTGGAAAATCTAATTTCATTATAAAGTAAGAAAAGTAAAATTTTACTTACATGATTGATTCCTTTTTTGGTAACTAAAGGTATTTTTAGGCGTTACTTTTCACAGCTCTGTTGCCATGCTGACGATCTAAACAAGTCAATCTGCTTGCACAACATAATTATAAGTTTGTCACTAATTTGTTGAAGACCGGAACATGAAAATTTTCGCCTGTTTTATTATTTTTTTATTTTTTAACCAACAAACTGTATAGTTATTTTTTATTGTAAGATATATATAAAGTATATAACAACCATTTCTTTTAGTGTGCCACCTATACACTTATTTAAGTAACAATTTCTATTGAAAATTGTAAAAAATATTCAATAGAAATTTTTACTTAAATAGGTGCCATATTAAAAGAAATAGTTGTTATACACTTTATTTACCAAACTTTGTTTCATATCACAAAGTATGGTTTTGAAGTATGCAGCATTGGTGTGATTAAATTTATTGTTAGGGTTTAGGGATGTTTTTAATTTGAAGATATTGAAATATTTTATTATATATCATATTAATTCAATAATTCAGGGCCATAAATTCTTATTTTTCGACAGACTTTTATTGATAATAAAAGGACAAATCTCTTCCAATTGAATCAGGCATACCATTATTTGGAATTTGTTCCTCTATGCAACATGGATGTATTCAATGATAACCCTATTTGTAGGTGCAATGAGGAGGAAGAAACTGTCACTCATATTATCTTGGTATGGAAGCAACCCCCATTGTAGACATAAACTAGGGTACCAAAGAGACCAGGGAAAATGAATTGCAGCAATGGCAGTCCATAACTTACTAGATCTTAAAAGAAGGATCGAGTCAATTGAACTGAACTAAGGACTTGGAAAATAAGCCAGAAGCCTTCAGTATCCTCATCACCGCCATCAAGAAATATTCCAAAGTAGGGCTTTCCAAAATTTTTAGCCAGCAGACCCCTTTCACAGAACAAAATCCAGGGCGGACCCCTCTCATTCAAGTATTTAAAATAAAATAGCTAGTCCATTCCTAATTAGATGATGGAGGGGGGGGATATCACAATGAAAAAAACCATAGGTTGTTTTAAGTTATTTTTAACTTCATTTACGAAATCCGGAACACAAAAATCAAATTGTACAGAACAGAATCAATTGGTAGGTAAAACTCAAGTTAAATTGAAAAGTTAATAATTTGAATATTACTGATTAGTAAATTAATGGGAAGAGCGAGGCTGTTTTAGCCTATTTTGTGCAATTTGGATGGGTTGGGTTTAATAACAGCTGGAGATGGATGCCGGGTTCATCATCTAACAGCTTCAGTATTTAGGTTTGGTGGCTTTATAGATATCCCTAAATATCTTTATTTTGTACTAATATTGCACGTTTTGATTATAAGTTTCTATTGAAATTGGAAAGATATTTAGATAATTATTGGAGAAAACAGTCCATGTCTTCTTCCAGTAGTTTCACGACGCAATTATCTTCTCAGCTTTTTCCAGCCCCATTATTTTGATTGATGCGACTTCTTCATATTGTTTTAATAAAATAAAAGTGCTGGTTGTAGGCCGGGGCTAATTAAATAAGCCTTGACATTATTGAAGTACATGTACGGCAAAATTTCGTGCAGAATTTGCTACTTCGACTAAGTTCTCTTTTGAAGGTTGGGATGCTAGGTCAGGTAGACGTGGAAAACAGGAGAAAACTACGTTTTTGGATATGTCGACGTTTCGTCAAATTTATTGACATCCTCAAGGCGAGTAATGATTGAGATTTTCAAGATTATACGATTAAATTTAAAAGTTGAAACATGTTTAGCCATACCACCGCTGTATTTCTTATGTACAAAAACTTAATCCAGTTCCAATCAAGGGTCGGCGGACTGCAGACTACCTAAACTGCTCAAAAATGAATAGAGATATTCTTGTAGGATAAAACACAATAGAAAATACAAACCAAAAAAAAAAGAACTGTTAATCCTCATTTTAATAACGGATTTACTTAAGAATAGTAAACATGTAGAGACATCATCTTGCACCAGAAGTTCGCAATGTTATTGTGAGAATGAGTCATCGAGGTCACCGGCATTTGGATATCGCTAAGGGAGGACAGAAATATTGTCATAGTTGCTAGACGGAACCCTTTCCATAGTGCTCGCCAGATCCGAAATGAAGTACAAGTTGTTTTGGCAAGGCCTTTATCAGCGCAAACGATTCATAATCGTTTGTGGGAAGTTGGCTTCATGTCGTAAGCCCCTTTGAGACGACCTGCAACAACAGCTCGCCACCAGCAACTCAGGAGAATATGGTGCAGCTAGCGCCTAGAACCACACCAATTGGAATGCTCATTTGTTTACTGCTGAGTCACGTTTCGGTCTGTATAGTGATACCTGGCGCCGAAGAGTCTACCGATAACAGGGAATTCGTACAATGCCCCAGGTCGTGCTCCCTTCAATGCAGTTTGGAGGAGGCGTTGGGATTTAGGAGGACGAACTGGACTCCACATTGTTGAAGGCAAACTCACCGCAGTCCGTCATGTCCAAGAAATTTTCAAGGAATACATCGCTCAAACCAGGGATTTCATTGGCAAGGATTTTCGATTTCTGGATGACAATGCCAGACCTCATAGAGGCACAATTCTTCATCTATGTTTAGAAAACCTGGGAATTCTCATCTGCCCCTTCGCACATTATCTCTAGGCCTCAATCACGTTAATTGTTTAAAAACATTGTGTGTCCACTAAACAAAATCATGGAATTAAAACCTTTTAGTTTGTTATTTTTCAAAATCCCTTAATTAAATTTTCGTCTAGTAAAAAACAATAATTTCTAATAAATTTTAATGCAAATTATAACAAAAATGCTAGAAAAAGTAAATACTACAAAATTGGCAATATCCCTATTCATTTTTGAGCAGTACCGATATCGTTCCAATTTCAATAGAAACACATAAATAAAATGTGCCAAAGTTGTACAAAATGAAGACGTTTAGGGCTGAAAACTTCGAAGCCATCAAGATGAAATTAAATGGGATTAACGAAATACAACTTTCACTTGAACCCAAGCTTTATTTTTCCTGATCTTATTTCCACATTTTCGACTTGTTTGGAAAAGGTTTTGAAACATGTTTCCAATATAAGTTCAAACAGTTAATTTACCACTTTACGACCTCTTTCTGTCGACCGCAATAGTCGAACAAAACATGACTTTTCAACCGGAAAACTTTTATCGAGTTGATTAACAAGATCAACTTGACTTCAAGTTTAATCAATAATCAATCGTGCGTCTTTAAAAGAAGACTAAACCGGCCGCAGCTGGGGGAAAACGAATCCATTAACGAATGTTAAACAGAAGTCCAATTATAACGCTATATATTTTTATATATTTGATTTTTTTTCTGGACGCAGACTAATAACCGGTGCAATTTATTCATCGCGTCATCAGATAGGAAAAACGGACGAGCAACTCGTGTTCCCATTTGGCCCGTTGTATATTTTAAATTGATTTGTTACCCCGTTGTTCTCAAACGTCCAGAAAACACGCGAATAATTCAAATAAACCCATTGTGATATTCAAAGTTGCATTTTGATATTTCGACTTACAAAAAGTGCTATTTTTGGTCCATGAATAAGAATAATGTGCTTACTGGATTAATTGACTGTACGAGTCACTTAATCTATACATTCATGCATGTGTGGGTTCATGTTGAGTTACATATGTTGTTTCATAATGTACTCCACCCGTCGATTTTTTTTACCTAGGATAAGAAAATAATGAGCAGGATCGTATTAAATGAGATTAGATTTACAAAAATTACAAAGACCAGAAGCGACTTGCAGAAAAGTAGGCAGAAAAATTTTTTTGAAAACGTTTAAAAGCCCGTAAAAATGAATTTGTATATTAAAAAAAAAAGAAGACATTTTTGGGCCTTTTTTTCTCTCTGATGTCCTGTGCTCCACTTATAAAATTGATAACTCATGTGGAATTTGTCCAACATCCACGTTATTAAAACCGTTGGAAAGCTGCGTTTGTTTTTTTACAGCCTATATCAACAATCTGTAGTTTTTATGCCATTATAAGTGAACAAATATGGATAAAATTAACAAAACCTCTTCAAACCTTTTATGTTATATCTACGGTTTTGATGTAATTACGGAGACCACGTTTGTGCCTTTATTTGTATGCTATAGAGTTCCAATTCCAAATTCCTGAAAACATGTCTGTGGATCGGTGGAATCGTTTTTAATTTGTGATTTTTGTAAAAAATTGGGGAAGGAAGGCAAAACCTTTGAAGATTTTTTTTTTAGTTTTTCAAAAATTTATATTCATCGTTATTTTTCTCATTCCTAATGATATAAAATTTAAAAGTTGTTGATATGAGCTGAACGAAAGGTTATTATTCATATTTTCAACAATTCCGACAGTTTTGTCATTTCAGCTCCGAATGCGAAATATTACAACACACACGCAATACGCATTCACACAAATAAATACATTTACACTTATATACATTGCATTCATTCTATTTGGTAGATAGAGTACTCATTATTCCTCCACCGACGTGCATACAATAACAAACTAATCTGTTTGGGGTCGATGGGGTACTTTTATAAATATTCCGCCATCGACCCAAGTCTTTTATTACTTATTATTGGTTAGGTAAATTAAAAATCGATGTAAGGAGGGATTAGATTCCATGGTTTAATGTTATTCTATGAGAACAAATGCGAGTGCGAAGCTTCACTTTGTATTGGCTTGTTGACCAATTGGAAAAAATAGCTTGGTACCGAGTCTAATATTTTTTGACCTAGCATCACGAGAAAAGTTTAATTAAAATCGGTGATCCTACGTCCATTGCCTTGCATGTAGTAAAGATAAGGAGGAAAATCTATCTTTTGCTGCTTGCTTATTTTGCAATTATTTGGTTCTAAATGAAATATTTTCAAATAGAAAAACGCCAGTAAAATTTTTTTCATTGTCAAGCTTACGAGATTGAATGAAGCTAACGCCAAGTTTGGAACTTGTTGCTTAAGATGTCCGTAGGCCTCCTCGAGGTGAATCCTTCTAGTTATCTCCTTCTGCCGCACTTCCCTTCTTTTCTTCAGCTTGTTCATTCTAAACAGAATAAAAATAAAATGTAAGCTGATTGGTCAAGTATTGTACATCTTAGCCTTTAGA